TAATAATCGCCGTTCTTTCGGTTTGGCTGGTTATTTGAATAATAATAATAATAATAATAATAATAATAATAATAACCGCAGTTCTTTCAGCTTGGCTGGTTATTTGAATAATAATAATAATAATAATAGAAATAATAATTCAAGAAAAAGTACAATTGATCGATCACATCCGGCCTCTAACACTACAACTAAATCGAAACGTGTAGAATTTGAAATCCCACTTGTAATCACATCTAAATCAAATGGAAAATTTCCACAAGCTCCGAGTTATTCAGAAGTTGATGAACCTCCTGCTTATATCTACACCACTATGATTCCTCCTCCTCCCGAATACACTGCTAGAAATCATCTTCCTACCATTGTTCATGATGATGATAATGATGATAATGATGATGATAATGATGATAATGATGATAATGATTAAATTTTATTTTTTAATTTGTCATCTGATTAAATTTATTTAGTATCTATTTATTTTATCAATCTTTATGTTATATAAAATAGTAAGCTTTAAAATATGCACAATATGTAAAAAAAATGATTGTTGTACAAAATAATTATTATTATAAAAAGTATATATATAAACGCGTAAGATTTTAATTAGAAAAAAATCAATCCAATCAATAATGAACTTTAATTATAGAAAAGCTTTTAGAAATATTCATTCTTGTACATTTGACCTCTCCACGGGGATTATAATTAAATCTTGTCATAACGGATTTTAAAATTTTGCTATTACTATAAAAGATTAGTAATCTTGCCACAACGGAGTTTAAATTAAATTTTCTTCTTATGTATTCTGTTCATCCGCCGTGACAAGATTTAACTGTATTCTCTTGGAAATTGTTTAAAACATATTGTAAATCTTTTTTCATGAAATTGTTCATTTTTTGATCTTTCCTCTTCACTTTTCATAAATTATTCAAATTATTACAAGTTATTGATACTAATGAAATAATCTGTATTCTTCATCGTGAATTATCATTATCCAGAAATAAATTAGATATAAATGAGATTTTTAATTTATTTTTATTTCATTCGAAATTCTTTTAATATTTATTTAATTAATGTTATTAATTTCTATGAAAATGAATTTAATTTCTAAAAATCTTTGAAGAAAAAATCAGTAACAACGAGGATGAATTCATTTGAAAACGAAAAAAGTTAAAAAAGCTTTATTTTTACAGATTTCATAAATAGCAATGGTAATAACAATAACCATAATAATAGAAAAATAAATATTAAAAATTTCACTACAACCAACAACAACTCTATTGATAGTAATAGCAGCAGTAATTTAAAATTTCTAATTAAATTATTTCTAAAAAAACATTTAATTTAAATTATATTAATTGCAAATTTAAAGCTGATGACTTTAGAAGTAATTGATAACCATGAAGAAGAGGGAGAAGAAGAAATTTAAAATCACATTTTTCACAAATTGCTTTGCAGAAGAATATGAGTTGCTGTTGCTAGGCGAAGAAGTTGATGTTGTTTCTCACATTGACCATTTAAACAATTAAACCGATTTTGCAAGTTGTATACCTGGCTCTTTAAGAGACATTGAAATTTGATTATGATTATGATTACAAATATGAGTGCGCGTATAATGCAAAAAGTATAAAATATTTTATTCAAATAAGGATGAAGATAACGTTGGGGTACTAAAAAATTACGATGATATTGAATATTTACGTGTCTGATAATTATTCTATTCAATTAAATTCTAAAATAATTTTTATTATTAATATCAAAAAAAGGCGATTGTTTTCTAAGATTCGAACACCAATCTGCTATTAATTATTTGACAAATATTAAATTTTGCTCTTATTTATTTCCCAATCAATAATCATCTAAATTATTATTATCAATCACGGTATTTTACAAGAAATTCTTTATGAAAGTTCTCTAATCTTTTACAAAA